TCGAATCAGTAAATCGAATACGCTAATAGAGAATGGATTGCGCGATCCGTATTTAAGTATATAGATCGAGTTAATTTGAGCTAATTTGATACACTATAGTGTATCAAATGTGGTCGACAATAATGAGAGAGAGGGACTACTATAAAATATAAAACTTTGTATTTTATTTTGCAGGCAGACAAGACATTTTGCTCAAGACAAAACAAGACATTTTGCTCAAGACAAGACATTTTGCTCGCAGACAAGAGAATAATATGCAGGAAAATAATAGTATTTCCCGCGACCGCATGTGCAACGGGTCGTGTTCGTCGGCCATCAAGGCCTCATACGCTGTTAAGCGTCTTCCCGCGACCGCATGTGCAACGATATTTTCAACCGATATCGCATTTTGTCTCCAGAATGCTGCAACCAGTTTCTTATATGTTTTACAATTAATGCGATAGTACAATAAATAACGAAGAATTGTCCACGCAGCTTTATCAAAGAAGTGCAGACATGGGTTTAAGAGTGCCGTTTAACCTAGCATCGTATTCCTTGCTGACTTACATGAGCTGATGCTCATGTTACTGGATTGATTATGGAAGTTATATAAAGTTATATGCTTGTTAATTTCATTGAAGAGCTTGTGCTTCCTTCAACCGATATCGCATTTTGTCTCCAGAATGCTGCAACCAGTTTCTTATATGTTTTACAATTAATGCGATAGTACAATAAATAACGGAGAATTGTCCACGCAGCTTTATCAAAGAAGTGCAGACATGGGTTTAAGAGTGCCGTTTAACATAGCATCGTATTCCTTGCTGACTTACATGAGCTGACGCTCATGTTACTGGATTAAAGGTAAGGATCGCGATACTCCGCACTCAAATTCCAGACAAATCTTGTTCTATTTTTTATTTCCTTTTATTTTTCAGCCAGGAGAATTTGTACATACAATGGGAGACTGTCTACGTCTACGTCAACCATATAAGCGCCCTTGAGGAACAAGTAAAACGCGAACCGCGCGAGTTTCCAAACTTAAGGATAGTTAGAGAAGTTAAAGATATTGACGATTTCATTGCCGAGGATTTCGAATTGATAGATTACAATCCATACTCCAAACCCTACATGAAGATGGCTGTGTTAAATAAAACGGTTGCAAAACTGTTGAGTCTGCTGAACGCAGCCATTGATAGATTTAAAAAAAAAACAAAAAGCAAGAACGAGAAAGCAGTCGTGTAACTCTTGTGAAACAAATGAAGATATATCTACAACATTCTTTTTTTCTGCGTCTCCATTGTGTGCAGTTGAAGTGGTCGAAGTTTTTCGTCCTTCGTGGAAAAACAAATCTTTATAAAAGCTATTGGATTACAAGGCTATTGGAAATTAGTATTCCTATACGAAGGAATTAAAGGAGTCAAGGAGGTTTAAATAAAGCCTATGTTACATCTACACGGACAAAAGGCTTTTTAAGAAAAGATGCGTAAGTCAATAAATTTCTAAACATTTTATAGAAAAGAATTATAGAAATATTTTTAAAAAACGATTTTTCCT